CCCCAACCCCCCTTGCGCTTCTCACGGGACTGTGGGCCTAGGCCGAACTTCTTTTCCTTCTGTGGTCATGGGAGAATCACAAGTAATTCTGAAAATGGAAAGGAGGATAGTTTTCCGGGCTGATGCTGGGAAAAAGTGGTCTGAGGGAAGCCAGGGAGCCTGAAAGAAAAAAACACAACATATATAAAACAAGGCTTTGGGTAGCAATAAGGAGTAGAAGGCAGTTGAGAAAAAGCACAGGGTGGTGGTTTTGCTTTTGTTTTAGGTGCGCTGATGACCAGTAAGTCCTTCTGGTAGTATCGCTGCTGTAAGTGCCTAGCCTAAAACCTTTCTAGTAGCATCTCGCAGAGTCTCAGGTCATCATAAAACAGGCTTTGAATAGCTCTGGCACTTGGGATTTTCTAACATTCGCCTTTCTAATCTCTCAAGTATTCTTAGACTGGCAAGGATTAGCTGAGGTCTTCAACCTGGGATTGGGCTATTTACAGGAAAGCTGGTCCCCCAGACCACTGGTTTGCATCATCTAGGAGCTAAAGGTGTTCTCATTGTAAGGCCACAGCAGAAGGAGATTAGGCAAACTCTATATTAGAATTGACTCTGATGATATGATGAAGAGTTACGGGAGAAAATTTGTTGCTTCATCTCTCAGTGAAGGAGTTTGGACTGTCTGTTCTGAAATGGATTTAGCAAAGTACCTTTCCCCTTGTAGTAGATTTTCAAGCTGAAGTGTTACCCTGCAGTCATTTGAGAGCTTCTGTCTTCTCACATCAGGCCTGTTGCCCTAACTTGAGTTCTCTGATAGCTTGCCTCTTATTGCTCTTTCTGTTATTCTTTTTCACCCAGAACAGAGGTATTTTCTCAGACTTGATTTTCCTTCTGCTTCTTTTCTAGTGCTTTGCTGACAGAGCTAACGTGTAAATCGAAGTAGATAGTTGTACATAAGGTACAACTCCAGTGGGTAGAAGTACATGAGTTAGGTTATGAATACTTCAGATTCATGTTACTAAACTCTACACTCCCTGTTATCTTACTAAAAGTGACTCAGCCCTCTCCTGCTGATTACTCTTGTCCCTGCTCCATGCTTTTTAATATTTTATGCTTTACTCAGCTGTGGGTTTCTGGAGTCAGCTGTGCAATACTTCTTAAAACAAGAATTTTAAATTTTAAATAAGTGTGGTGCCTGTGAAAGAACCCCACCTATTGTTTTTGGAGACTTATGTCATGACTTATGTGAACAGGCACAACACAAGCAACATAACATTTAAAATACTTCAAGGGTCATATGGGTCTTACTCTTGTCCATTACCTTCTTAAGATGCAAACTGCTGACGCTCCCATGCAGGAGTCTTTTGCAGAAAAAGGACTGTACCTTGCTCCTTACGTTGGCTTACATTGGAGCTAACTAGAACAGCAGAACTGGGCGGGTCTAATCCTTGTCAGTGTTTTTTGCTCCTGTGAGTTTTTGTCAGGGAGCTGAAAAAGAATGTCAGAGATGCAATCTGCTGCAGGAGATGACAAATAGAAACATTTTGCTTTCTTTCTTTTCCTCATTTCTATATTCTTTTTGCATACCTATCTCCCCATTGAGACAAATAGAATCAAACCAATAAAGAGATCATTTGTATTTAGTGGACACCAGGTAACATTTTTTTTATGCCATTCTGCATAGAAAGAGCAAAATAAAGATGCAAAGAAGAGGAAAAATAGGGAGAGGTAGGAAAGCTGAAAGAAGTTCCATCACCGCAAACCCGTAAGAGAGTGTGAATGTTGTCTCTGGTGGCCTAATAACAATGGTTACGTCCTCAGAGCATTTTTGTTGCAGAGATGTCTTTAGGTGGGAGACTGCTGGAAGAAAATGAGAAGCTGCTGGCATGGGATTTTCTTGGGGGAAAAAAAAAAGAAAATGGTGTGCAAAAATTATTTCCTTCCTCTTTTAAAAAGACCAGATATGAGAAGAGACTGAAAAGCAAATGGAGAGAAAAGTTGATGGAAAAGAGCAAGAGAAGGGATTTGAGATGGGAAAATCTGTATTATTCATATAGAGGAACGTGCTTTTATTTCTTTATGCAGTTAATAGGAAATTTTTGCTAGATGAATGAAGCTCTGTAAACAAAACCTCCTCCATTTGTAAAATATTTTAAATGGGGTGAGAAGTTTTCATGAGCAAAACTTCCAGGTTGCTTCCTCAATATCTCATGCGTGTGTAGATCATGTGAAGAAGCCAGAGGGCTTCACAGCAGGCCCCATTTTTGACAAAGTTCGCGTTGCAGTCGTTTCTGCGAGTGGAGTGTAAAGCTAGCTTTAAGCAAGCTAAGTGAGAGCTACTGTTCAGCTAGCTGCAGTAAGATGCAGTTCAGTGTAGGTTTTTTCTAGTTCCTATTGCTTTCTCTACTGTCCTAGTTAAGCTCCTATTTGTACCGAAATTAGTGTAAGCATATTCTTTATATGCAGGGTTAGGTATTAAGAATTAGGCTGATTTCATGCAAGGAGTGCATGACTTCAAACGTGTGATCGGTGTACCATGAATTGTTTTGGTTGCCTTAAGTCTGGGATAGTTTGGAATACTCATTTCTCTTGAAGAGCTGTGGCACTTTTTTCCTTTTATAGGAAGGTGTGTGTATCCATGCGTGCCCGCTCTTTCTTGGGAAATGTCCGGTGTTTCCAGTTACGCTCTACGAATGGCCCGTCTGAGTGCTCGGATATTTGGAGAAGTGGCCAGGCCAACTGACACAAAATCTATGAAAGTAGTGAAGTTATTCAGCGAGCAGCCTTTGGCCAAGCGGAAGGAGGTCTACAGCTGGTATCCTCCTCACAACACCTACTATGCGCTCATGAAGAAACTCCGCTACTTTGGTCTTTACAGGTAATTACTGGCTTCGTGGAATGGGTACAGGACTGCAGCGGGGAAAGGGGTGGATATGAGTTTTCCTACATTTTTTTCCGTAGGAAGAGGAGGAACTGTTGAAAAAGGTTCTATTCATAATACCACGTATATGGAAATCACAACTGGTTGTGGCATTGAGAGCAGGGAGACTAAAATAAGTGACTGCTAAGTAATTTTCCCCATTTGAATGAATAGAACTTTATATGAGAAAGACTGTAGGTGTAATTGTGGACAACTAGTGACTTGAGAAGTAGTTCTTATTCTGGCATTATGGGGAAGGGAAGAGGCTTTTTCATTGAGAAGAGGGGGGCCCATAGTTTTGAAGATGCCAAATCAGTGTGCTACGAAAAGGTAACATTACCTTAACAAAGAAATTGCACTGAGACGGTCTGACCCTATATTCATGAATCATTCAACAACTAATACTGAAATTTAGAAGAGAAGGAAAGTCTGTGCATTAAGCTGGAGGGGTTTTTAAGCCTTTAAAATAAACTAAATTCAAATGAGGTATAAATAGGCAAGTGGTTTGGATGAAGCTGAAGTTAACAGGGCTAATTTCTAAAGGAATTTCCACTGTCTCAAGTGGGAAAAGCTACGCTATTAAAGATCATTAGCAGGTGTCAAATGCAGTCCTTTGACTTCAGTCAAGTAGCACTGAAGAAATCCCTTAAAAGCATGGCTGGTAACCCTGTAAATTCAAAACAGATTAGTTTCTGTTGCTGGAAGCACATGATGACCATCCAAGATTGCATCCAGGATGCTCTTGGTTTAGATAGGCATGCCAGCACTTTCTAGAACAGCTGCCTATTGGCACAAAAAGTCTCAACTACTTAATGTTCTCCCTTCTTCCCTCCCTAATCTCCTCAAGTTTCTTTTCTAGCTGTTCTGTGTACAGAGAGCTTGTAGTGGATCAAGTTTGCTGTTCAGAGATATGTAGTAACAGGCAGTAGGCTAAAAAGGCCTGATGACAACTTGTAAGCTTTTTGTTTCTTTTTTAGCAAAGCTGTGTTTAAAAATAGCAGTGCAGCAGTCTTAGCCCATCTTAGGAGGCAGTTCTGTGACTCTCTAAAAATACCTTTGCACTGAAAAGTGTGGGGTCAGAGATTATAAATAGAATTTATTAGAACATCATTGAAGATTAATCATCTCCTCCAGCCCCTTCCTCCTCCTCCCCGTTTTATTTTCCTTCTGTTAAGATTCTGTGAGTAGATGATGCCTTCTTCGTAACTCATTCCTGAAGTCACCTGAGAGCAGTGTCATGTACTGTAATTATAGCTCAGCATGCCCCTTCTCTCCTCAGAAGCTAATCACCTGAACTTAGTACCTAGCACAGAAACACAATGTGCTATTGCTAGACTGCTGAGCGAGATGAGAAGGGGGAAATTCTCATTCTTGTCTATTGCTGATTTTTGTGTTTTCCTGCTCATTTAAACACAATGGATCGATAAATACACTGTAAGAAATATACATATGCACACCATTTGTTGCTGAAAAGAGCAACCTTATTAGTTCTGAAAATACTGAGCAAATTATTCTGTCCACAATTACTGCTAGCAGTAACACTGAGTACACTACTGTGAGGGTTAGTATGGGCTGTTACAAAAAAGTTGATTTTTCATTATTGTACAGTTCAAAGAACCTTTCACATCTAGATAAGCTGAGGCATAAACCTTTTTTTCCCTCTTCCTTCCCCATCTAGAGATGAGCATCAAGACTTTAAAGAGGAGATGAGACGGTTGAAAAAGCTCCGTGGGAAGGAAAGACCTAAAAAAGGGGAAGGAAAGAGAGCTCTCAAGAAGAAATAACATCACTTTGTCAATGTAATGAACTGCTTTGGAGATGCTGAGGAACAGCTCTAACTCAGGCTTTCTGTTCCCAGCTAGAGAGGGCTTGGCATGCGAGCTGCATATGGGGGCTGGAGAAACACGCTGTAAAATGCTGGAATCTACCTTGGGAGTGTACTTGGATCCATGTCATTTTATTGTTTTGTGAGTTTCTGTAGTTCAAATATTCTGTATATTGCAGAACATTGATTTGCCATGAGAGCCCTCTCTTACCTAAGTAGTAACAACAATAGCAAAAAATAAAAGTGCTCAGTTTTTTTCTTGTGTACGCCCCATCTCATTTTTGTTGATCTTCATTTTTGCCAAAATGGACTTTCTTTTTCATTTCCTCTTTACTTTCTTGCATTAGTATCAATATTGCTTTGTGTGTGGCCACAAAAAAAAAAAAAGGTTATACTGAGTTTAACTCCAGATAGCCTTAGTGTTCCTAATTTTTTTTAAGTTGCTGTTAGAATCAATTATTTGCTTTTGCACTGGACAGCACTTTCTGATGCATTCCCTGCCCTGAGCACTCTTATTGTACCCCGAATAATTAGGTATTGCAATGGAAGAGGCTGAAATACAGGCTGAAGCTGTTTTCCATTTTGGGAACCTCTGCTAATTAAAATACAATAATTAAGTATACTGTAATAAAAGGATTTTAAATGTAATTTCATTGCCCATAGGACGGGTATGAAGTATTTCATAAGGTGATGAACGGGGTATTACTTGTATTTAATGTTTGGTTTTATAGCTAGGCTCCTCCAGTGTCACTAGGATTAATGATTACATAAATGTACTGTTCATGCTTGTCAGTCCCTGTCAAGGAACAGAAGCACAGAATGCAACTATGCTGCTGTGTTTGGCCGCGTGCGCACCTTGCTTGTATGTGCTCTGAAACTGTTCATCTCTTAATTTCCAGACCCTCTAAACTTGAAGAATAGCCTTATGGTGGTAAAGGGGAGCTATTCAAAATGGCAGAAGGGCTGGAGCAGAAAGTGTTGGCACAGTTAGCTTGGAGTAGGCTTGATGTCACATACGTAGGCATCCTGAAATAGGTACCAATACTAAACTTCCACTGATACTTCTAAACCAAGCTTGTTCAAATATAGGTGTATTTGAAGGGTTCTATACGGTCACTGAAATCAATGGATCTTCATAAAATCGTAACAAGTCAAATACTTTGTTTCACCTAGATTATTCACTCAAGAGGTGCTGTGTTAATGGTGGTTTTGGTGAGCTGTGTAGTTCTTGCCCAGTACCCTTTACTGAGTGATTATTGATACCTCATTTTCTAAGCTCTAAGAGAGATGGATTTAGAGGTTCTGCAGTGTTGATGTTGTGGGGAGTGGCCGAGTTCTTGCCACAACCAACAAAATGCTGTAGGAGATGTTAAAATATATGACTGCATTATGCCTGTAATGGTAAATTTCTCATTCTAATTTAAAATGCTTTTAGAAACTTGATGCTGTGGCTCAACACCACTGTAATGCGCCTGTGGTGTTCTAATGTTGTAGGCATGACGTGCTGTGAAGTGTACAGAGCACGTGATGGGGTTCCTGGGACATGGTGCAGTGGATGGAAAGCGGCCCAGTTGCCTTTAATTCTTGTTCAGGAAAGTGAGAATGGCGTGGAGCAGGGTCCTAGGTAGGAGAGGGTATTTCCTAAAGAGGAAGGATGCTGCTGCCTGACATTTTGTTTCTCACTGTGTCTGTGAGTGGGTGGAGTTGTTCTATAATTTTGTTTGGTGGAGAGTAAGACCAATTCTGAAACTCTACAGTAGAAGCACTGTGGCAGTTGTCCTGGACAGCTGGTGCCTGTACTTACAATGGCTTTGTCAGCCAGTACTTGATGTCTTCTAAAATTAAACCAGAGATCAATAAAAGCATTTTCACTGCAATTTAAAGAGGAAAAATCAGAAGCATCTTTCCTGTTCCTGTGAAACACTTCAAGCCTTAACATTACAAACATGCAAGAGAGAGAAAGTGTGCATGTATCAAAAAGTGAATTATGGCCCTGTTTCAGTAAAGTAGATATGTATGAGCTTAAGCTTTGGCATGTGGCTAGACCTCTCTATATGTATATTTATAACAATATATGAAACACTTACACTATATGACTGGCCATGGATATGCTTCTGAATCCACGTTTAGCCTACTGCAGAAGGACTGAGCATCTGCAGTACTACCTTATTAGGCACAGATATGGACCCAGCAGTGTAATATTAGATACACAGGCTTGAGGATCTGACCTGATCTATTCTTCCTTATTTGTTCCAAGATACCTGGCTATTTATGGATTTTGAGAAGTTCCTGTCATGAACAGGAAAGTGAAAGGCTTGATTGGCTTCATCTGTAATGAACCCCTTTGTCTACACCCTGAAAGAGCAAACCTGCTCTAGAATCTAAGTGTTACCCTGGGAACATACTTTGGAAAGATATTTACAGCAGTATATCCAAAAGTACTGAGGAAAAGAGGAGAGAAATTGATGGAAGTGCCTGAGAAGTAAGTGGCTGTGAAACAAACTTTCATCCTTTCTCTGCAGGATTTACAAAAGCCAAGTAGATGGGGTGAAGTAATTTTAAAGAAAAATGATGACTTTTAATAAGGCAGTATTGGTACAAGAAATATTCCCCCACCTAACTTTCCATGATCTTTTCTCTGTAGTACTCACTTTCCAGAATTACATCAGTTCAGAAGGGACTTTTTCCCTTCCCTTGAGATGTCACCCTCAAATAATGAAGATGCAGCCGTTTTTTGAGTTTATCCTAGTGTTAGAATAACCCATTGTTTGCTGGGAGTGCTTAGCGTAACTCTTTTGTTCTAGAAAATACAGCTTTCTCCACTCCAAAACAGGGATAGAGAGGAAAATGGGACATTCCTACCTAGCTTCTTTCCCACTCTTTCTCTGAGGTATGAGCTGACTGTCCTTGGAGTATGTTTAGATAGATGCTTCCATTCCTGATGAAGAGACAAGATGCTAACTTCTTCTGAATCCTGAGCAGGTTCATTAACATAAGTTAGCTGGTGGTGCAAGATGCCACCGCTGCTCTCTGTTAAAGGGGAGCAACAGCAGACAAAGAAGATGCACCTTGAAATCTATTTAAACATAACAGAGAAGCATACATTACACGGTGTATCCCATGTGCCAGCCTAGATCTCCAGCAGTGTTATATTTTGACAGGAAGAGCAGTCTTGAATTTAGGTGGGAACTGGCATTAGGAAATAAGGTCCCCAAATTCTTCTGACGTGTACTTATGTTTGTATCATTCAGGGAGATGCTGAAGGCATTTTGACCGTAACGGTTGGCTTTGTTCTTCCGTATTTTATAGTGCTCTAATTATGTCCATTTTTAATTGTCTTCTAATATAATGTAATTGTAGCTGTTGACTGCTATTTTGATAAACACAACTTATTTTGTACACAGGCTGGCTGATCTAGGTGCTATGTATCCTATAAGGAGTGTATCTATTGCTAGGACCTCTTATTACTGAAAGTCCTGCTGACTGACAGAAATTCTTGTAATGAATACATATAATGGAGGAAGAAAAGAATTAGCAGTGTTGCTTTCTGGTAAATATACTAGTGTATTAAGATATAGATACATGTGCTGTACTGAGGAAAGTAGTAACTTGAAAAAAGTTTCTCTTAACGTGGAGAAAGTTTATTCTGTTTTACTTACTAGGGCAGTGCACTGAGTTTACAGAGGTCTGTGAAATGCACCTGACTGTTACTGAGTTGGTCTATGATTTTGGATAAATATTTTGTCTTGCTTGCCTGTGCTTCCCCAAGAGTAAAATTAGAATAATGATCACTTATGAGTATGTCATGAGGGTAAGCTGCTTTTAGGATGGGAATTTACCCTAGGAGAACCTTGTGTAAAAGAGCAGCTTAGTTTGGCTATAGTAGGACTTATTCCACTGTGTATTTTGGAGCTTTATTTCAAATGCTGAACAGACCTGGGTTTGAGTGGAAACTAAAAAATAAATGGATCAGCAGATATTTCCAACTGTAAATCTTTCTGAGATTTTGTGTGTGCAGTCCTCTATGACTGAGTTTGAAGGCCATTTTAGCATCTTTCTAAAAACCAGCAATCAACAAAGTCTTCATGTTTTGGAAAAGCTTCATGAATCTTAAAGGCTGATTTGATGAGAGAAAGGCTGTTTTGTATTTCTTCTTTCTGTCAAAGCACCAAGAATAATATGCAAAGAAAACAAGTGCTGTAGGGATGTCATTAATTTCTTTAAACTCAGTTCCTCTGTGTGACTATTCAATTGTGACACTTCTTGTACAGTCTCTTGGGAGTGGATCCTGGAAACAAAAACCTTCAAGGAGACTCTCTCAACGTGTGATCTTGATATGGAGACATGTCTGAGAACAGAAACTCTTCCTGTTTAACTTCTTCTAGAGGCGATTTCATTTCTTAAAACAACTTCCACTAAATGCCCAAACAACAATGGAAAACTCAAGGGTTGCAATAAAGAAGTGGGGGGATTTATTATAAGAGGAAGTAGAAATTAAAACAATAGCCTGATCATGTGTCTTGGAGGTAAGAATTAAATGATTTGTGGGGGCCAGATCTTCAGAATGTATCTTTCTGTGCCTACGCAGCTGGAATAGCATGAAGACATTTTAACCCTTTTCTCTCCTTCACATGTCCTTGTCCTTTCGCCCAAGTGTAATAGTGATATATCTTGAGTACATGTAGAAAAGAAAAGGTGTGAAAATCCCTGAAATAATTTGCTTGAGAAGGCTCAGTAAGAGAAGAACACAGCTATAGTGTGTCTCAGTGGTGCATGAGGAGCATGACTGTAGTGAGAAATTTGAGGGCCATAACCACCATTCTGGGTGAGGAATTATTTAGGGTGGTCTAAGGGGATAAAATTGAAATCAGCAGGATAACAATTGTTACACAGAAGAATCTGTATAAATGCCACATTAAATTGTTCTGAGTGGAAAACTAGGGAAAACTCCACAGAGTGAAATATTTAGAAAACTTGAGAAGGCTCCTAAGAAGCGAGTTATGCTTCTATTGTCTGAGCCAGTGAGAGTTAGACTGAGTGAAGCGTTATAAAACATAGCACGGGGACCACTTCTATCCTAGAAGAGGAGGAGGCAGACTGGATGACCTCATAGGTTTTTTCATATATAGCTTATAAGGGTCTGTGAAAACAAATCTCTCCAAGGGCTAAAAAGGGATTTTTGTATCCATTATATTTTCTGTCTACACTTCAAAGTACTTTACTTCATCCCAGTGCTCCTAAAGCTGTCTGTAAATATTTCATGGAGTTCAGAGAGTCTCTCCCACTTCAGTTGTTGTTTCTGCTGGTTTGATGTTTGCCTCATGGGCTTTTCAGTAAATAGGCCTTTTTAATGGAATTAGGAGCAAAAAACACCTGAGCTCCAGAACGTCTAAAAAACACTGCACTGCCACCTGCAACGATGTTCACTGCAAAGCATAGTGGTAAATGCCTCATATTCCTGCATTTCCATTACAGTCTTGCCTGGATGAAAAGGAATAGGGTCACTCAGGCCCAGACTTTCAAAAGCAGGTGTCTCAAGTTTGACTTCAGATTCAAGCACCTAAAGAAACGGTCTGACATTAGAAACTGTGCGAGTATTCAGTGTCTCAGACTGATATCCGTGGGACTTGCTGCTGAATAACAGCTAGGTAAATACTGTGCCAGAATACAGAGCTGTAGTCCCCCTTTGCCTTTGGCTGACGTAGATCAGGACCTGTAGATTCAGCAAAGCACCTAAACTTATGTTTAGGTTTTATGTATGTGTTTTGCCCATTGAACAGTACTGAGTTTAAATATGCAGATGAGGTGTGGCCTTAGTTTGTTTTCTGCCATGATTACGATAGGTTCTGCAATGATTATATATGTATAGGTTAACCTATGAACATGTGTAGCATATCCTCCACTTCTTAGAGGTTAAAATGCAATTACACAACACTGATATAGCTTTAAAATCTAAATAAGCAACATGATATAAATCAAGAAATCCAGCAAAGCCATGTTCAGATCTCAGTGAACCCTACCACTGGTCATAGTGATTTATCCTTGAATGTGTGGTCTGAAGAAAGAGACTGAATCCTCTTACCGAGTAGCAGTCTCTTCAGGACAGGACTGACGAGACGACGTCTCTCTAGACAACCTGTCTTGCCTGCTCATGCAGTAGGTGCTTCCCCAGTGATGCTCAGTGTTGATCAGGCCTTTTTTTCCATAGGTGTTGTCTATGCTTGTCCAAGCACGCTTGTGTGTAGTCCCTTTTATGCAGAATGGTTCCACACTGACCTTAGCCAGGGCAAAGCTTCTTCAGCAGAGCCGTTGATAGTGTGCTAGGTCAAACTTAAGAGAGCAGGTAGTAACAGTGGGCGAGGAATGGATATTTGGTTATTAACAAAAAACATATCTCTTGCTGTGATAATATTAGGCTATGCTGGAACCAGGTACTGGAGTCCCCTGACAAGAGAACTGCAGGTGGCTTGGAGAGGGCTTTGTCCACCACAAAGGCGATTGTACAGCTGGAGGGTGCTGTACTGAGATCCGGGGGATGCTATCTTATTTACCGCTGGCAACCATCATAGACAAGGTGCAAAACTTCAAACGCAGCACGCCTGGTGCAGTATAACTGCATGCTAACAAGGCTGTGTGTGACAAGCCGCACCAAACTGCTGCTCAGAATATTTCCAAGGGAGCAGCAGGTAATAACAGAGGTCATCCAGAAAGTGTGAGGGTATGCATTCAGGATTGAGCTAGCTAGTTTACAGACAAGATTATTATATATTTTAAAAGTATTTTCTTTCTCTCTGAGATGTCAGAGTCTATGTTGGCTTTCTAATGAAGGAAACAAGATACGGCTGCTGTTTGAGCTGCTGTTATTTAGCATTACATTTTGTTTGTGGGCATGGGAGTATTATGCATGTGGACTCCAACCTGAAGCAGTGTTCAGCTGGCTTGTTCAAATTGGCAATTCAGATCAGAGAACAGCCAGGCAGTGAGGCGGTGCAAATGTCACCTAGGCAGGCGACGTTTCCTGTGCGAGTGGGTGGGAGATTATTGGTATACAGGCAGCGTGAAGCAGTGAGGGTTATTTCTTGGCTCTCTGTCCTGTGTCTGCTTTGGTGCAACTGATGCGTGGGTGAGCATTGTTCACAAGTTCTAAACTTTACCAATACTTTCTAAAGCAACAACCTAAAATATAAAGTAATAATTACTCTAGGGATCCTCACAGTTATTACTGACAGCTAGAAAGTAACATTCAGTGGCCTCTTTACTTTTCTCCTTTTCCACTTAGTCATTCTGCACATAGACTGCGAAGTTTTCCAAGATACTGCTCTGTTGCCCTGACACCAATACAGCCAGTGGTGTGAACTATCTCTGTATATTCTCAAACTCAAATTTGTTGATAGTATAATCAAGTTATTAATAAACATTAATGCCCTCTGAGGATAGATAGCAGGATATTGTCTAGGCATGCAAACCACTTAAAAACAAGATACAACTAAGATCTAAGCTGGAGCCCTGCAGAACTCTCCCAGAGGGAAGTAACAGAAATTGTGTTCATTTACCAAAACAAATATGTCTTCTGGAGAGAGAAGTCATATCGTATTAAAAAGGAATAGCCATGTCCAAGGGCCCTGAGCATAACCGCAAGCTTCAAGCAATCCATAGCATCAAAAGACTTTGTGAAGTCATTGAACATTACACCAGAGATTTGCCTTTGGCAACCTGCACGCTCACAGGAATGATGAGAATATAGCAATGTGGTTCAGAGAGTCTCCTAATCCCCACATGCCGGACAGGCAGCTTGCCTCTTAGGAGAGACTGCAAGGCTTGTGTTGTTTTGGTGACAGTGAAGATTAAAAGACGAGGATGGATTATTAACTGTGATACTGACTTTGTCAGCGTAAGCCATTGATGTTAAAATACACAAATAAAATATATATGTGCATATTACAGTATAAGCATTCATTTGAAAAGATTACATGTCCTATTCAACCTGTCTCTGAAGAACACCTGTTAAAATCCCAGCAATGCGGGGTATTGCCCTGGGAAATGATGAAAGCACAAGGTGAGTATGGGGAGTAGAAACTGTAGAGCAACGCAAGTCTGGCTGGCTGTAGCTCTCTAGTAATGGGCTTGCCATGTTCTGAGAAACTTTTATCTCATGGTGGGGTACCCAGCCACAAAGCATGTCCTGCTCTCCTGGGGTTTCTTCTTCTTCTTTTTTTTTTTTTTTCCTGTGGGGCTCACAGATGGATTGCCAGCACAGGAAAGAACCTGCTCATGAGACACAGATCTTCCCCCAGCTTGCTTAATTTTCATGCTCTGAAGTGTAGGGTCTGCTAAGGAAAATGAGAGTTTCCCTGGAAGTCTCTGAGGATATGTGTGCTGCTTCTTTAAATCTGTAGCACAGAAGCTGGGCAGGCAAGGAGAGATTAGAGGGAAAAGTTCACTAAGGAAGTGTTAAAAAAAAAAAGAGAGAAAGCAGATAACTTCAAGGCAACATAGTTTATCTTATGCTAACAAAACACTTTGTTTAATCTTTGAAAGAAGCAAGAGTGTGTTTGATTTGGTACCTTTTTATGTAATAATTTGTTGCATCAGACAATTTTGAGGATGAAACGCAATGAGGAGAGAGTCAACGAGCCATCCAGAAGAGATGATGAAGTGGAAGGGTAATGCCCACAATAAGGGCAATATTTAATCTGTTGTTTTAACAGCCATGCAGTGACCACAAAACATCCCCCTTTCCAGCTGAGATAGGAGAGAGCGTCATGAAAACCACATTCCCGGTATCTTTGATAGGAGTCTCACAGAAATTCCCCTTAGATTGGTCAATACATTCTCGCTATCACACGTCAGATCTGTGGTTTCTGTATTTATTCATTTTATTGATTTAGCCTTTTCTGACTCTTACAGTTTCCTTACTCCAAGCCAATGCCAGCCCTAATGAACTTTTTCTGCTCTGTGAAGAGGCTAGAAACTGAAAGA